TACACATCCGTTTATTTGTGGAGTACACAGGAGTACTCAGGAGTTTTACATGCCCGATTACAGCTCTTTTCACGCAGTGTAGTGTGTGTGTGTGTGTTTATTGTACAGGTGTGATGGTATTGCCTGCTCTAGCTTTCACGCCTGTCGCACCTCCACCGGTTCCATTGGGACAGCTGCAGGGTCATCAGCTGGACACCGCTGTTCACAGATGTTTCGCCCCCAAGACCAGAACATCTCCAGGCGGGGGGGCCGGTGGCATGCTGGGGACGTCTCCCCGCCACCCCCTGTGGCTGCCTTCACTGGGGTGATGATCCCCACCCCATTTCTTTCCTCCTCAACCAACGCCAGTAGCTCCCGTTGCTCTGCTTCCTCTCCTAGCACCTTCGTGGCTTTCCTCAGCCTTGAGCCTGTTACGCCCACTCCGTGTAGCAGCTGGACTGCTGCTTTTCCCACGAAGCCTCGACAGCCGATCTCCACCGGGTGAACAGTTGCTTTCCAGCCGGCATCTTTGCACTCCGCTCCTAACTCTGCGTACTTCTGGTGCTTCCTTTCGTGGGCTGCTGCCATATTCTCCTCCCAAGGGATGGTTAGCTCAATGAGGAGGGCCCGCTTCGCCACTGTGGACCACATGACTATGTCTGGTCGGAGAGTGGTGGTCATGATCTCTCTTGGAAAAATCAGCTGATTCCTAAGGTCTGCCAGCATTTGCCACTCTTTACCAGGTGCGAGCATGCTGCTCTTCTTCTGAGCCAGAGGTTGGTGTATACCACCAGGCTTTACAAACCCTTTTTGCCTGCTTTTCTGTTGCCGGTGAACGGTTTGCTGCCACCCTACAGTCCTACAGTATCTCGGCCAGTTTCATCAGGATTTTATCATGGCACCACCTGAATCGTCCCTGGGTCAGTGCCACTCTGCATCCTGACAAAGTGTTTGGAGACTTGCCTTGGCTCTCCCGCACAGATGACAGCCCACTTCATCACCATACCACAGTGTGAGGTTCCTAGGGCATGGGAGGGTGTTGTAGGTCGCCCTCAACAGGAAACTGAGCCTGGATTGAGGAGTCCTCCAGATATCTGCCCAGGTTATACGCCTGTTGATGGTAGCATCCCATCTCGTCCAGGCTCCTTGCATGCCCTGGGATATATTGCCTTCACCAGACTGGAGAAGGAGCGCTTCCATCTGATGTCGTCCACCACCATGGTCTTTTCCTGCTTCTTGGTGGCTTTGGACCAGAATTGCTGCGCTGCTCCCCAGCCCAGCCCAGCACAACTGGTCTGGAGAGCCCCCATAACTTCTCGGAGTTGCAGACTGGTGATGGTGCGATCCACCTCTGCCTGTGCCTTCCATTTGCAGCCTGTGCGGATGGGGACATTCACACTCCTTATGAGCGGGTCTGCTGAGTTCTTTAGGTCCAGCACAAGGCGAGCCTTTTCCTGCTTATATCCTAGGCTGATGGATTTAATGGGGAGCTCCAGCATGCTCCGACCGAAAAGACCTGCGTCTGAAAAGCATCGGGGCAGGCCTAGCCACTTGCGGATGTAGTTGTTGGCTAGGGTATCCATTCTGCTGACATCTGAGGAAGCAATTTTGCAGATCTTTAGGGGCCACAGGATACGCTGGTACAGGATGTGCTGATAGCACCACACCTTGTGCTTCCCGGGCAGTTGACTCTGCTCAATCTTTGCCAGACCTTCTGCAAGTTGATGTTTGGTTATCTTTCCCATCTGCCTGTCTGACAAGTCTGCCATGTACTGCCTCCCCAGGCTTCGCAGTGGTTTTTCATCCAGCCGTGGAATGGGCTCCCCTTCTACGACGAAGCTGTCTTGGACTTGCACTCTGCCTTTCCTTATTGACAAGCTTCTTGATTTTTCTGTTTGCAGGATGCTTGTCACGTCGTCCATGTAGCTCCTCAGGGGTGGCAGCCTCACGCCTGATGGTAATTTGATACCTCCAACTACCTGCCTGGCCCCTATGAGTATTACCTCAAAAGCCATCACAAACAGGATGGGGGAGATGGCGCATCCCATCGCTATTCCACATTTTAACTGCTGCCATCCCGTCGTGTAGCTCTCTAGCGTGAAACACATGTGCAGGTTGCTGAAGTATCTAGCATTACACTACCCGGGACATGGAAGAACGCTAAGGCGAAGTCAATAAGCCTGTGTGGAACTGAGCCGTATGCGTTGGCTAGGTCAAACCAAACCAGATCCACATCGGTCTTCTCTCTCCTGGCACACTGGATCTGATCCTAAATCAGAGAAGAGTGCTCGACGCATCCTGAAAAGCCAGGGATTCCAGCCTTTTGGCAGCCTGTGTCGATGTATCCATTTGCCATAAGAAAGTTGGTCATTCTCTTTGCCAGAACGGAGAAGAAAATCTTTCCCTCTACATTCAACAAGGCAATGCATCTGAACTGGTTGATGGTCTGGGAGTTCTGCTCCTTGGGAATGAATACACCAACGGCTTGCTGCCACTCTGCTGCGACTTGCTGCTTCCTCCAAGCTGTTTTCATTAGCTTCCACAGTGCCTTGACTACCTGCGGGCAGTTCTTGTAAAGCTTGTAGGGAAGCCCATTCGGCCCTGGGGCTGATGCTGACCTTGCCTTCTTGATTACCTCCTCCACTTCTCGCAACTTAGGTGGAGAGCTGTCGAACGGTAAAGTTGGGGGGGCTGGCCGTGGTACATACCCTGGAGAACCAAGCTGTGATGTTCGTTTTCCGTCACTGTACTGGCTCTTGATGTATTGCTCCAGCTCCTCCTTACTGATGTTCAACTTTCCACTTCTCTTCTCGTCCAACAACTGCCGGCCATACTTGAAGGGATCTCTAAAGAAATTGGTTCTCTCTTTCTCTCTTCTCTTCCTCCTCCTAATCCTCTCCACTCTCCTCAGCCTCGCAAGGTTTTGTCTGACCTCATCCCACAACTCCTTCAGGCCTTCTTTCTCCTGAGGTGCAGCCTTCATCCAGTTCCGACGGAGCTGGCGCCTTGCTTTAATGAGCTGTTCGATCTCTCTCTCTCTCTTCTTCCTTTGCCTGGGGCTGTGGGCTCTTTCCTCCTGACCTCGCAAAACATCTCTCTGCATACCTTGAAGATGATGTACCCCATGATGTTCAGTTTGCTTTCGACGCTCCCTCTCAACGCCAGCTCCAACAGTTCCCTTAAGTCAGCATCTGCCATGCCACCCGGTCATTCTCTTTTGGTCATTTGATCTTGTTGCGCCTACCTGGCTGCTTTGTTACCGGCTTTGTTGGGTGGTCCTCTGGTGGGCTGGTGTCCTCGTGTTCGTGGGGTACGTTCTCCATCTTGGGGTTTCTTCTGCCACTTCCGGAGATTCAGCTCCAGTGGATCCTGCAGCACTGTGGTTGCACTCCCGGCTTCTGGACCCTATCGTCTGACCTGCTTCTTAAGCAGAGCGAGGTTGCTGGTCTTCCGTCTTCGAACACCTCATCTTCCCTTGATGGATACTAGGGATGCACCGAATCCAGGATTCGGATTCGGACGAATATTGGGCTTTTTAACGGGGTTCGGTTTCTGCCGAACCTCAGAATTTTTTTCCACCGAACCGAACCCTAGGCTTGCACTACGCGCGCTACGTCGAAGTCACCGATCAGTGAATGACATCAAAGTACCGCGTGAACGAATAGAGAGCAGACGGCTCCTTATGCTTTTGAATTGCTCTCGCGGTACTTTGATGTCATAAACTGATCTGTCTGTGCAGCGCCGGTTCAAGTCGAACAAGCCTGTAGTGTAACGCGTTGTGTCAGGAAGAAAAATAGGGATAGCTCACAGCTAAAGTTATTGCAGAGGCCAGACAGACTCACGGAGGCGATTCGCATCTCACAACTCGCACTTTATTCCACAATCGAACTTGTGTAACTGTCTGTCACACGTTCTATGTTCCACAGCGTTACTTAACAAAATAAGGTAAAAATGAGCATCAAACAGAAATAACCCGCATACATGGGCATGTGTTCGAGGCGCACGGCACAAACAATACGGACTGCAGACAGTTCAACAGGAGCGCGCAGTTCTTAAAGGGGCCACACCTTATTTCCACTCGTTACAGTAGGTGCACCGTTCGAATGCAGTAGGCTGTGAGAAAGTGAAAATGGAACTCGTGAGCAGAAAAAGTGTTGTTTGGCAGTACTTTCAGTGAAAAGAAGGCAATTCAAGTCGAGCTAAGTTTTCAATTTGCAATGCCGATTTGTCTCATGGTGGCAAGGACTCTAAACAATAGGCTACACAACATCGCCGCTGTTAAAATGCATAATGTTGCTTATTCTTTTTTTTTTTTTTTTTACACTTATAAAAGTAAAAGTAGTGTTTATTATTTACAGTAATAAAATAAAATGAAAAATCCACTTTGTTTACTTCATTAATGTGTTTACTGTGTTAATGGACTGAGGATGAGAGTAGGATTCGGTATTCGGTTTCGGATTCGGCAGAATCTTAACCAGTGGATTCGGTATTCGGCCGAACCCCACAAATCTGGATTCGATGCATCCCTAATGGATACGCAACCCCCTGCTTGACGTCACCTTCTCCCATCCACACGCACACTTCCGGAGGGTTTTCTCATTGTCGTTATTCGATCCTATCGTTGCCTTTTGGTCCATCCTTGTGGGCCCATCTTCCATCCCGCCTCTCGGAGGGCCCTCGGGCTGTTTTTTCTTTTGTTGCTTCGTAGTCAAAGGTGGCGCGTCCTGGGGCTACCAGGTCGCTAGTGGGTAAGGTGACTAGCCGCCCACTCCTAGTGGGCACTGACCCGTGGTGTTGGTCTTGTGATGTCAGATACATGAGTGTCTGTGTGTGTGTGTGTGTGTGTGTGTGTGTGTGTGTCTGAGACTGAGCACTGACCAGTGGTGTTGGTCATGTCAGATACATGAGTGTTTGTGAGTGAGCACTGAAAAGTGATGTGGGTCATGTCATGTCAGATACATGAGTGTGTGTGTGTGTGTGTGTGTGTGTGTGTGTGTGAGAGAGAGTGAGTGAGAACTGACCCGTGGTGTTGGCGTGTGTCTGTACGAACAGCGCGTTCTTGCTCAGCCCCCCGCACAGGAAGAGGGTTGTGATGTCATATCCTGCCTCTCTCATGGCATCTAGGATGTGTCTGGTGCCGAGCTTCATACAACAGAGACACAGAATTACATTAACACTGTAATACTGGACACTTATTTAGTGTGTGTGTGTGTGTGTGTGTGTGTCTTACAGCGATGGCCTGAAGAGTTGCTAGATACAGCAGAGCTAAATCATCCAGCGACTGTGATAAAGTGAGTCCCACAACCTGCACAAACCAGCAGTGATATCATCAAACAACTCTTCACCACTGCAAACATTAGTTATAAAAGCTAAAACTATCTTATGTGTTTTTTTTTTATCTTAATGGTTTAAAAGAAGAAAAATGCAACGTAAAGAAAATCGGTCTTTCTAGAACATAAAGTAAAAAGTACTTTCTAGGGCAATTAACATTATTTTCACGACATTAAGCAAATGTCCCTCTTAAATCCACATTCTGTCCTGTGAAATAAAGGAAAAAAGCCCAAAAATATAATAAAATAATATGTCTTAACTATAAATGTTCATTTGGAATTCATTCTCAATATTCTCATTCTAGCAACACTCTAGCAACACCCTAGCAACTGCCTACCAACTACACTAACTACCCTAGCAACTGTCTAGCAACACCCTAGCAACCACCCACAACATCCGAGCAACTGCCTGGAGCCAAATTTTGCTGCAGCAAGCACCACTCACATATTCTGCAGAAAATGTACGTCTAGTTATCAAGTTTTAATAATAAATCTTCATTCAATAAAAAAATTAAAAAATTAAAGGCAATACAATGAAAACGGGAACATAATGAATAAATACAAAAATGTAACTGTAAATTTAAATCTTATGTTTCTATATTATATTATATTATATATATTTTCATCAGCACTGTAACGAGCACAGCGTTCCTCACCGATCCCCGAGACGTGTGGTCGGCCAGAGGAGAGCGGTTGCCGTGGAAATCAGGCCAGATGTGCAGGCCGGCCGTCAGCTGCTCCAGCTGTGCTGCGTCTCCAGACATGTGCTCCAGATGGAGGTTCAGGCAGGAGTGAAAGTGTTTCCCACTGCAGAGAAAAGCCCAGCGATCAGACTGAGTGAGATCAGAGAGACGGATCAGAGCGACTGACGCTCACCTCTTCGCCGCCTGCTCTTTCAGCTGCCTGGAAGCAGCGTGTCCATTCACCACATGGTCCACCTGAAAGCACATGACATCGCTCTAATTAAGATATTCATATATTTCCACGTAAATGAATCTGTATATATAGCGTATAATGTGTTTATTGTAACGTTTGTCACAATGTCCTGTAGTGATGACTGTCTGGAACCAAGCAACCAAACTACCAACCAACAAACCAAACAACAAGAAAAAACAACAACTGATCAATCAACTAGACCAACCAATCAGACCAATAAACCAAACAACCAATAAAAACAACAACCAACCAAATCAACCAAGAAAACAACCAACCAATCAAATAAACCAAGAAAACAACCAACTAATCAACCAAACTAACCAATAAAAACACCAATCAATCAAATCAATCAATCAATCAATCAATCAACCAACTAATCAATCAATTAATCAGCCAACCAAACAACCAAGTAGAAAACTAACCAATCATCCAAGAAAAATAACCAAACAACCAATCATCCAAAAACAAAACAATCAATCAACCAACCAACCAACCAATAAACCAAAAAAACAACCAACCAACCAATCAATCAATCAATCAATCAATCAAATCAATCAATCAATCAATCAATCAATCAATCAATCAATCAACCAACCAACCAACCAACAACAACCAATCAACCAACAAACCAAAGAAAAACAACAACCGTACCGTACCACTTTTTGGGTACCCTTCTGTTGGGTTACCTAGCACAGTGGTACAGTACCTAAAGGGTGGAGCTAGACTCACTGCAGAACGTTGATTGGTTGACAGCGAATCGTCACTTGCGCGTGCTAGAAGGGGAATGACAACATAAGCGCCATTTTTTTGGAGAGATGAGAGAGACATGCTCGCGCAGTGAGAGCAGCTCGTCTCGGTGAGTGCGGCTTCTGCTTGGGATTTCCCCAGACAGACACTGTCACAGACTGACTGTGACCCAAGACTTTTATTTTGAAGGGATTGATTATGGGTATGTGCACACAACAAACTGTTTCCACCATTACACATACACACAAACTAAATGCCGGCAAAATACACAATTCTTTTTGTGGTTGTATGTTTGTAGCCATTTTGGGGTTTATTTCATTTCATTCAGTTACCAAGTTAACTTCATGCATTTCAAACAGCTATACATACCTTCTGGTACACCCTCACTTGCCAAACCAGTACACAAGGAAAGTAGCCATATTTAAACTAGTATGTGCTCATGGAAGATTACTCCATCTGATTCTGACCTCATGGGGGAGAAGGTTGGTGTGGAGAGGTTGAATCTCGTTTGTATTTGTGGGCCTGTACATTGGCATAGCCAACTTACATCCGTGTATTGTAAACAATTTTGATTTATTTTCTTTAGTATTATAATTTTTGATAATCTGTTTTTTCTATTATTTCCCTATTCCTATTGGATATTGATATTTTTGCACCTTTTGGAATTAAAACCACTCTGGACTGTGTTTTTCTGCCCTTGTCACGTCATTTATACCTCTGGCCGTTGGTACATCCTAACAAGTGGTGTCAGAAGTGGGATTCAGTACCGGTCGAGTGACAAGTGGGGATTTTTTTTTTTTTTTTTTTTTTTTTTTTGACATGCCTCCTAAAACGAGGAGTCAGCCTGAGGAATGCACAGTGCAGGAAGAGGACCTAGGTGCAGTAGGAGGAACCCAAGGAGAGAGCGGGCCACCTGTTGAGGTTTTGACTGCTGGAGGGGATGCTGCAATCACAACTCTTGCACAGATGTTCAAGACGTTCATGCAGTTCCAGCAAGATCGAGACGAGCGTCAGGAAAGGGAGATTGCACGGCGAGAGCAGCACTACAAAGTACTCAGTCATCAGGTCACCCAACTACAGATGGATATGGAGCGTAGCAGAGTTAAAACTCCAGCACCAGATGGTTCAGTGCTAAGGGTGTTAGACCAGGAGCCACATTTGGCTAGGCTTGAGGACACTGATGACATTGAACATTTCTTGACCACTTTTGAAAGACTGGCGGCTGTTTACCAGTGGCCAAGGGGAGACTGGGCAGTTCGGCTCATACCATTACTTACAGGCAAGGCCAGGAGTGCTTTTGTGGCCCTGAACCCTTCCCAAACCCAGGACTATGACCAGCTTAAAGAAGCTATACTGAGGAAGTATGAGATCAGTCCTGAGACATATCGGATGAGGTTCCGTGCTCTGAGCACCCCGACAGATGAGTCACCACGAGAACTCTACACACGGCTTAAGGACTTATTCTGCAAGTGGGTCCAATTCAGCCAAAATAGCAAAGATCACCTTATGGAGGTTATCGTGCTTGAACAATATCTGCGGGTGTTGTACCCAGATGTAAGGACTTGGGTCAGGGAACATAATCCAGCCACTGCTGCCGAAGCTGCTATCCTAGTAGAGACCTACATTGCTGCAAGGAGGGGCCCTGGAAACTTCTGTTATGCAGGCATACTACCATATTCTAAGGGTAAGTCTGAGGGGTCTGGGGTGAGTTCAACCTCTCAAAGCCGTGTTAAGATTCTGAAGTCTACCCACCCTAAACCCACATCACCTGTTTCCACATCACAACTCACAGTTCAGCAACAAGTTGTGTGTTTTAATTGTGGAGAGCCAGGACATACTAGGCCAGACTGTCCATTGAAAAAGTCCAACACAACTAGTCTTTGTTATGTTCCAAGGCCAGTGCAGACATTATTTCCCACACATGACACAGAGCCAGTTATCACAGTTTTGTTGAATGGCAAACCACTTTCAGCTTTGGTTGATACAGGATGTGCTCGTACTTTGATACAAGCCAGATATATACCCAGAGATAGCTGGAGTGAGGAAGAAACTGTGACTGTTTGTTGTGTGCATGGTGATAACAGTGAGTTGCCTACAGCTGAAGTCTATATTGAGGTGCACAACCAGCCATACCTGATGAAAGTTGGAGTAGCCCAGAATCTGCCATATCCTGTTCTGTTAGGCACAGATTTTCCGGTTTTGGCCGAATTGGTGCAGGGAACAGCATGGTGTGGTGTAGTGACAAGGGCTCAGGCCAAGCAGAAAGTACAGTCTACCCCACCATCAGAAACGGTTAAAGTTCTGCAGATGATGCCTTTTTGCTCAGAGGAGGTGTTAGGAGAACCCAGACCTACTGAGGAAGCTAGAATGCAGCAGCGTAGAGAATGGGTAGAAAAGTTAATGGAGACCTCAGAAACGGCTAGAATACAGACAGAGGAACCTGAACTGTGTGAGACAGATATTGTCATTCATAACAATCTAGCACAGCTCCAACAAGAAGATCCCACCTTAGCTGATTGTTTTAAGCATGTTAGCGAGAAGGGAGGGGTTACCACTTTGTCAGATGAGACCTATGTGTTGGAAAACGGACTCCTGTACAGAGAGAGTAAGGAGGAGGGAACACAGCTGGTTGTGCCCAAGACACAGAGGAGGGAGGTGTTAGCAATAGGACACTCAATCCCCTGGGCAGGCCATTTGGGGTTTATGAAGACATTCATGCGGATCTCTAAGAGGTTTTATTGGCCAAGAATGTACAGTGATGTTAAAGAGTATTGCAAAACATGCCCTGAATGTCAACTCATTGTTGGTCGCACACCTGCTCATGTTCCGCTTATACCATTACCCGTTGTTGACACGCCCTTTAAGAGAATTGGAGTGGATATTGTTGGCCCTTTAGAGAGAAGCCAGACAGGGAATAGGTTCATTTTAGTCATTTGTGACTATGCAACGAGGTACCCTGAGGCATTCCCACTTAGAGAAGTTACTGCTAAGCAAATATCCACAGCACTCATAAAATTCTTCTCACAAGTAGGCATACCTCGGGAAGTCCTCACAGACCAAGGTCCCAACTTTATGAGCCGCACATTACAACAAGTATATCAGCTGTTAGGGATTAAGAGAGTACGAACCACCCCTTACCACCCACAGACTGATGGTTTAGTTGAAAGGTTTAACCAAACCCTGAAGGCAATGCTCAAGAAATTTGTCTCTGAAACAGGCAAGGACTGGGATAAGTGGCTGCCTTTCCTCTTGTTTGCCTACCGAGAGGTACCACAGGCCTCAACAGGATTTTCACCTTTTGAGCTCCTTTATGCCCACCCTGTTAGAGGACCCTTGGATGTGCTGAAAGAGAGCTGGGAAGACATAGACAGGCCCAGTAAGCAAAACATCCTCAACCACATCCTCAAGATGAGAGAACAACTGCAAAAGACCACTGCTTTTGCTCAAAAGAATCTTCTACAGTCCCAAGCCCAGCAGAAAGCATGGTATGACAAGGCAGCACGAACACGCAGCTTTCAACCTGGTGAGGAGGTCCTGTTACTGTTACCCACATCAGAGAATAAGCTGGTGGCAAAGTGGCAGGGCCCCTATGAAGTCAAGCGGAAAGTAGGTCCAGTGACTTATGAAATTGAAATTCCCTCAAGGAACCAACCACTTCAAATCTTCCACATCAACATGCTTAAGAAATGGCATCCGCGGGCACAGTCAGCAGAGCCTGTGCGGGGTGCGACAGACTCAGTGGTTGACAACGCCCTGTTTGTGAAAGCAGTGGAGGAGGAGGAGGAGGTCGAAGAGCAGTATATCCCTGGTCGGCAAGGCAATAGTGAACTGAGCCTAGAACATCTGAGCGAGGAGCAAGGACAGCAACTGTCAGAGTGCTTGCCTGATCAGCTCTTCATGGATACACCCGGTAGGACAGACCTAGTCTCTCACTCCATCGTCCTAAAAGATCCCAAACCCATTCGCCAGCCAGTCTACCGTGTACCAGAACGACTACTGTCAGTAATGAAGCAGGAGCTAAACACCATGCAGGAACTGGGAGTGATAGAGCCATCCACTAGCGAGTGGAGCAGTCCTATTGTTTTGGTTCCCAAAAAGGATGGCTCTCTTCGGTTTTGTCTGGACTTTCGCAAACTGAACAGCGTCAGTAAGTTCGATCCTTACCCCATGCCAAGGGTGGATGAGCTGGTGGAGCGACTGGGAAGAGCTAAATACCTCAGCACATTAGACCTCTGCAAGGGGTATTGGCAAGTTCCTCTGAAACCGGAATGCAAGGAGCTTACTGCTTTTAAGACTCCCTTTGGGCATTATCAGTTCCAGGTTCTTCCTTTTGGACTTCATGGGGCTCCAGCTACGTTCCAAAGAATGATGAACCATATTCTCTGTGGGACAGAGTCATTTGCTGCAGCTTACCTTGATGATATCATCATCTTCAGCCAGAGTTGGGAGGGACACCTGGGGCATCTTAAGGAGGTGTTAAATCGGATTAAGGCTGCTGGACTGACAATTCGCCCTGACAAATGTGCACTGGCCAAGATGGAAACTCAGTACTTGGGGTTTGTGCTGGGACACGGGGTGGTCAGGCCGCAAGTCGGGAAGGTTGAGGCCATTAAGAATGCAGAAAGACCGAACACAAAGAAACAAGTGCGGTCTTTCTTGGGGCTAATAGGCTGGTACCGACGCTTCATACCGAACTTCTCAGCCCGGGCACTTGCCCTGACTGACTTGACTAAAAAGAGCCAGCCCAACAAGGTGGACTGGACAACGGACTGCGAAAGAGCCTTCCAGGACTTGAAGGACTCGTTATGCAAAGCACCAGTGCTCCAGAGTCCTGACTTTGAACAACTTTTTACGGTACAGACTGATGCTTCTGACCAGGGCATTGGTGCTGTACTATTACAAGATGCACAAGGACAACTTAAGCCTGTGGCCTATATCAGTCGGAAGCTCCTTGATCGGGAAACAAAGTACTCAACAGTCGAGAAGGAGTGTCTTGCTGTTAAGTGGGCTTTGGACTCTCTGCGCTATTACTTACTTGGACGTAAGTTCCGGTTAGAGACTGATCATCGGGCTCTGGCCTGGTTAGGACAGATGAGAGACACCAATGCCCGAATCACAAGGTGGTTCCTGGCCATTCAGCCTTTTGATTTTGAAGTGCTTTACAGGACTGGGACTCAAAATTGCACAGCTGACTTTCTCTCAAGGACACCTCAAGAGGTGTCTGGAGAAGGAGGGGGAAATGTCACAGACTGACTGTGACCCAAGACTTTTATTTTGAAGGGATTGATTATGGGTATGTGCACACAACAAACTGTTTCCACCATTACACATACACACAAACTAAATGCCGGCAAAATACACAATTCTTTTTGTGGTTGTATGTTTGTAGCCATTTTGGGGTTTATTTCATTTCATTCAGTTACCAAGTTAACTTCATGCATTTCAAACAGCTATACATACCTTCTGGTACACCCTCACTTGCCAAACCAGTACACAAGGAAAGTAGCCATATTTAAACTAGTATGTGCTCATGGAAGATTACTCCATCTGATTCTGACCTCATGGGGGAGAAGGTTGGTGTGGAGAGGTTGAATCTCGTTTGTATTTGTGGGCCTGTACATTGGCATAGCCAACTTACATCCGTGTATTGTAAACAATTTTGATTTATTTTCTTTAGTATTATAATTTTTGATAATCTGTTTTTTCTATTATTTCCCTATTCCTATTGGATATTGATATTTTTGCACCTTTTGGAATTAAAACCACTCTGGACTGTGTTTTTCTGCCCTTGTCACGTCATTTATACCTCTGGCCGTTGGTACATCCTAACAGACACGGTGAAGGTCGGCGGGATGCAGAGGAGCACTGCATGTACCCAACTTGTGGTGTGACATTTGCAACAAAGTCGCAAATTTGCTCTTTTAAAAAAAAAGCTCTTTTGAAATGTGCTCGCCGTATGAACGCAGGGGAAAAGATGAGATCAGCTACTATGGCGAAATGAGCTGCTGTATAGGCAGATGCCCCGCCCTCTTTGGCGGGCTCTGCGCTCAGTTCGGCGGGACGGCCCCCTCGATTGGCTCGCGCAGACATGCTAGTTGGCCATAGGTTTGTGCAGTTCCCACTTGCCTAGCCAATAGCGTGCGTGCATCTCCGCAATATTATGGCTGTGCAGTAGCACTGCGTTATTAAATAAAAGGAAAAAGAAGTTTTCCCCCATAGCTACGAGCAAAGACGCAATACGAGTAAACGTTTCGAAAGGAAACCAAAATAAAGAAAATAGTTAAACTTTTAGCATTGCGTTAACGTTCTGTGCTCATCTGCATCATCAAAGCTGTATACTGAATTTGATATTTTAATGTCACTGTTTTGGTATGTTAAGGAGCTTGAAGTGTTTTTCATGTTAATGTCCCGCTGTTTGTAGTGATTAAAATACTGCAGCAGGAGCTGTATGTGGATCACAAGAGCCCAAAACGTGCATTTTGTTCACATATATTTGTTTTTCTTGTTTTGAGAGGTGATATAATACATTTTGAGGTAGGGGCCAGTTCACACAGAGTGATTTTTCCATTCCACTGCGCTACATCTTGCATTTTTAACCACAAAAATGCGTTCTGTGTGAATGGTCTCTTAGACTGGTTTGTTTTGCAATTATGCTTTCAGTATTGAATGAAATCTATATGTATTTTGTCCAGTGCATTCTGGGATTTCCTTCCATATTAAAGATAGATGTGATTGACTCACCAGTCGTCCCGTGGCGCTCTGACCTCCCTCATTAAGCCACAGTCCCGGCAGCATGGCGGACAGATACGGGCCCCAGACCCCGGGGACGAACAGCGGCTGTGTGCTCACCTGAGGGATACAAACACACGCTGACATCAACAGTCACACTATCTGAACACACACACACGTCCAGGAACTGAAGCTCACAGCCATGTGACATGAAGACGTCCCACATATGACAGCCATACGGGACGTGACCGGTTGCTCTTCACAGGGCAGCTGGTGTCCCCTCACATCGGCCCCGATGACCCCTACAACAAAATATTACTGACACTATAACACACTCCTACATAAATTTAAACTCACAGATCTCACGATACTTACCCAGCTGATTAATCACAGTACAGTAACACAATTGTTTTTGTATTGCAATATACAAATGAGTCACTATCTGATTAAATATGCACTCTTATTCATATATTTCCTGCCCAGAAACCTGAACACTGGATAAAGCCAGATTCATAATTTTTGTTTATTTTGTTGACATATTGCTGTTTTTTTCCAGCGGGGATTATTGATTTTTCTTTTATCACTCCATAAATCAGAAACTACTGTCAACAGACAGACACAAATACATTTTCATCATGTTTTTAGCAGTTGTATAAATGTAAAAATGTTGCATAAATGTGGTGAATGATATATGAAAAAACTTTCATATAGATATGAATAAAACTGTAAAATGTTGGCTGCTGAAGTGGAGAATTCAGACTCAAACTCGCCGCCTTTAAAGATTGAAATCTACAGACACTAATAGATAAAGTGCAATAAAATAAACTTGTTTTCTTTCCACTAGTCTGAAAGAAGACATGCTATGGAAGCAAAATAGAGCTCAAAACTGACCAGTGGATGAACAACCCTGGTTTTGCCTGTGAAATCTTTAGAAAGGGGTTTAGAGAGACTGAATCCTTGATCGAAGCATTTCCGACACTGAGAGAAAAGAGCTGATGCTGCAGTGGATATTATGAGGAAATTAAAGTGTTCCTGCTTATCCATGTTGTTTACAGTAGAGGTCGACCGATTGTGGATTTTACTGATATCGATATTTAGGTTTGACCGTACATGCCGATAACCGATTATTCAACCGATAATTTTTAAAATGGATATTGGATTAAAAACAAACACTCCAAGTAAAACAGTGCTGAACTAAAATGTGCTAAATGAAATAAATATATAAATATGAATATATTAAAATTAAATAAAACTAAATTAATAATTTAAACATTAAAATATTACAGGTCAAATGTGTGTTTCTTTAGCTATAAACTAGAACATGTGTAAATTTCATAGGTAATACTTTGCAAGTCCATTTTTGTTAACAAGGATGTATTAGCTAGCTTTCATGAACTATATGCATTATGCAATATATGTTTTTACTGCATGTATTAATATTTGAGCAATACAATTGTACCTTGATCATTCATGTTAGTTCATTGACTAAGGTAATAACAGATAAAATAAAATAAAATAAAAATTAAAACTCAATTTAAAATGTATTAGTAAATGTGGAAATTAACAAACTAACAATGAATAATACTTCTACAACATTTATTAACCTTAGTTAATCCTAAAAATGTAATCTTATTGTAAAGTGTTAACCTTTCATGTAAATCCAAAGAGCTTAAAGATGGCCATCATTTTAAATATCTGCAAAGGCCAGAGCATTACATTTACATAAATGCAGACCTATATTATATGTATAGTCTCTCACTTTATTTGCTTCTATTTTAGAACACGTGATGATTATCTAATCAAAATAACAAATGTATTGTAGTGATAAAAAAAAAAGAAACAAATCAGAAACGCATTCAATTGAAGTTATGTTTCTGCCGGCTACATGAACATATCAATGTTGAGAAAGCAATCACTTCACTAGCTTTAAATATGCATACTCGCCAGCTAATGAATGCATAAAAGTGACCAGCTGGATATAAAATTGCGACATTAAACATTTGGGTGAGGTTTGCATGTGTTTTTGTCACATTGTTTTAACCGCTTGAGGTATAGCCACTACTAATGTTAGTCCTCTCAGACTCGACGGCAAACATACTGCTGTTATTTCTCTGCTAATGCAGCATCTAGTCAAAAAATTAATTACTTTATAATGATATGGCAATATGTACTTTAGTGTTCTGTATTCATACCGTTTCGCTGTCAATGTTTAAATGCGCATCTGAAGTGTCAGCGCTCTCCCTGAAGCGTTCTCTCCGTGCAGCCTCACGTGTTCATGTAAACAACTCAGCCAGTGAAAGTATTTATTTGTCCTCTAGAGGCCGCTCTCGCTCTGTGTAATGACAGCGCACTCTTGAATCGGTCGACCTCTAGTTTACAGCTCTGTTTCTCTGAGGTTCAGCTGACAGTATCAACATCTGTGAACAAGACGCACATCAACTAGTTACGCTCACATTATGCAGATTTTATATAAAGACCTGATCTATTTAGGAGTGAAGCGGGTTGTCGAAGGTCAAACACTCAAATAGAAGTTTAACGCAGTGTAAATGCGCTCATTATGACACAGTTTTCTCTTCATTTCAAAGAGCCCTGGCTGAGTGAGCACTGCATTAGCACTCAGCTGGCGTGGCGTATCATACCTAACCCTCCTGCGTGTGCGTCTATGAGTGAAGCAGCCACAGCCGTTCCCGGTCTCAGGCCCAGATCTGCAGCCGCCTCTGCGCTCAGTCCTTGTCCTACAGGAGTCCCAGGACAACACGTCTGCTCACCTGGACACACACACACACACGATCAGTCAACACGAATGGCTGAACACACACAGACACCTGAGCTTTACTCTCTCCCACCGATTTTACAGTAGCTGTTCTCCATCAGGTCCTCCAGGCCGATGGCGCTCCAGAAGGTGTCGTCCCAGCCTTCGGACGGAGAATACGTCCACTTACAGACCAGAGTACAGAGAGACCTGCATCAGGAGAGCAAGAGATGCTGTGTGGATCACTGACATAACTCTCTTTATGTCTCGCTTTAAAGGGGTCAAGATATCAAACATATGTTTGTTCGGAGCATTTGACTGCAGATTGTGTTGTAAACGAGGCACAGAGCTTTGCTGACAGATGAAGACTGTATTTGATCTGACAGCAGCTGCATCGCAAACCGTCAGTAAATTATTTCGTTATGCTTTGTCTGTAAATCACCATTTATATGGATAATGTTTTCAAAACAGTGGTGCGTTCGAGTCCTCCTCTGAATTTTGTATTTACGAGTTGGGAAGTCGCAATGATGCGCGAGGATCTGTTTTATTTCTTACAGTCTATGGTTTTATTGTGATCATTTTGAACGCATGTTTAGCAAGTCTTATGCCACTCGGTACAATTCGCTAGTTGCATAACAACGGAAATAGAATCTCCGGTTTGTCTGTGGTGAGCTGGATCACTTCCGGTCACTGCTTCCGTCAATGGCACTCGCTTACTTAACCGACCGTTCAGCATAGTGTAAAAAAAAACACACGAGTCTTTTTGGTATTAAAACAGGTGTTGTACCGAATTCCGACTCGCGGACAAATCACACGCCCCTTCCCGTGCACGCGCCTCTCACATAAATACGCGCTGAAGCGAGTTTGAATGCACTTCCTTTGCCATATGCGTTTATCGATTGATTTTTCTCACAGCAAGCACCCAGATCCTGCATGAAAGCTTTGTCTACACTTACATCAGGGCTCGACATAAGCAATGGCCCGATGGCCCGGGGCCAGTAAAAGAGTATGTCGGGCTAGTTGATTGGCCAGTCACTGGCCCGCGCGGGCCAGTGAATGGCCATCAGCAAAACAAACAGCAAACGTCATATACAGTGGCGCGAAGAGTGTCAATGTTACTTCAGGTTATAATAACGTGTTAAAATGTCAAAGAACTACGAGGCTGATACGAGAAAGAGGACATTCCTATAGGGCTGGGCGGTAAATCGAGTTTGTACAATATATCGATTTTTTTTAAACGATATGGAATGAGGCAATACCGTTTATCTCGATACAGTAGTTTGATACGAGCACATCTGAAAAATAGCGGAGTACGCAGTGTGAGCTCCTGCAGTGAAAAAACGTAGTAGCCTACAATTTGTCCTAAACATGACACAAGCTTATATTAAGCACTTCAAAATAACTGGTAAGATATAGTTAACAAGTTTAAAGTAGCTTGCCCTGTCAGATGCTCTGACAGATACTGTTGCTGACTGACAGATAAATAGCCTACTTGCGCTGTTTAATGCGTTTGAGACGTGGTGCTTTCCTCAGTGCTTAACTTACATTTTACAGGTATATTCTCCATCCGTAAATGTTAGAAAGTCAAACAAATATGTCCATTTCACTGTCAGGAGAGGACGAGCTTCTGCAAGTGAATCTCCGCTTAAATTCAGGCTTCCGTGAACGAGCGCTGCCGCGAGCACGCGCGCCTAACAGAGGAGCACAATAGAAGAGTAGCGCAATAATTCTGACTAAAATATACATCTTGCTAAAATATTTGTTGTTGGAGACAATAAATGTGCCATATGTGTAATTTTAAACCTAAAAATAGGCCTATATTTTTATGAAAGTGAGTATTATAACGGGTAATCAAATGCAGGCTAATATAATTAGTTATAATTAGCATTATTTTTGTTTTTAGATTGTAATGTTAGAATGTAATGTGATTTTAACCACCTTTTTGCACGTAATATATTGCATAGCCTACATTACATTCACTATATTTGTTTCCATATCCTTCAATATCAACATTGTTTGGATATCATTAAGCAGGATGTGAAATATTTTTTTCTAAATAAATACAGATTTTCTTTATCCAAATAGAAAAACGTAGAAAGTACCGAGATATATATCGTATATCGCCATTTAACCAAAAAATACCGAGATATGATTTTTTGGCCATATCGCCCAGTCCTAATTCCTAGTGTCATGGAAAACGCAGTACACCTGGGTGGAGAAAGGCAATGAGGGCATGTATCGTTTGCCGGAAATTTACAACAAAAGCCGACCAAAATGCATAACCGGCCTGCCGAGTGCCGACGGGCTATCTAAAAATAGTGTAATCAAATTCCCCCCTAAACTTTTGCCTAGCCCCCCTAAAAATGTGTGATTAAGTGTAAGCTACACAAATTTGTGTTCGCTTCAGTCTTGTTATAATCAGATTCAGCGCGTTCTTCATTTTTTCTTCATTGACAGTTTTTTGGTCATAAATGTTAAACGTATGACAAAAATAATCAGGCAAACTAATACACTTTTGTCTAATTTCGCCATTTTGAAGTGAAAATATAGCCCATGTAACTCATCACTCATGTAATGTGTTATAATGTAAACAGTATCTGTCAGAGCATCTGACAGGGCAAGCTGCTTTAAACTTGTTATAAAGTTAATTTACTGTCATTGTGAGGGGACAAGAAAAATTAATCCTAATGTATACAATAAATACAGTTTAATGGAAAAGTGCTTTTGATTCTATTTCTTTCAGGGCCAGTAAAAATATAGAAGGGGCCAGCAAAACTCTGATCTACTGGCCCTGGGGGCCAGTGGGGATTTTTTTTTATGATGAGCTCTGCTTACATAAATTAACAGAAAGTGAACTAGTGTGGATAAAAGATGCAAACAAACAAAAACGTATGGCAGATCGATTAAAACTATAAACTTCGACGGGTAAAGCTACCATAATAAAGCTACCAGCTGTCAAAACATAACTGTTAATTTCACATAATTTAACTGAACGTAACTTTTGTGTGTTAAACACGATGTGGTTCATAGGAAAATATGGTATCACTCTCCCCATTGCACAAGAATGTCATTAAAAATAATAATATTTAACCTTTTTCATGAAGATAGGCTTTAGTTCATAAACAAATTATTATGCATGGACTCAATCTTTATTTTTTTGTAATATGGCAGCAGTTTTTAAGGGCACCTGAACGCAAAACAATTGCTCCAGCTATTTTAATTGTATATCCATAAGCAATCCCAGCTAGAATTTTTTTTGTTCTGTTCTAATGTTTTCAGCGGGTAGTTTTATTTTTGTTCCCAAAAAGAACCTTGTATAATCTGTGATCTCAACAACATTCCCAAAACATCCTCAAAATGTTGCAGTTAAAACATCCTTAAAACATTACATTCAAATGTTTTCTTTAAAACAGTACCCTCGTAGGGCTTTACAAGTTTAAACCAAACTTGTAGGGAATGTTATAGCCAAAGTTCTGAGAACGTTCCCTGCTAGGATGCAAGATGTGAAATTGAAAGAATGAATGAAATAAATAATGTTTTTTGTGGTCCTAATGTGCCGGAAAATAACTATAATGGAAAAAAAAATGTCTAAGGTTTCTTTACATCCTTAGCTTTATTTAACCTTAGCTTTAGTCAATGATCACATTATTATAATTATAATTTCTATTTTTAAGATGCAATTAAGCAAAAACAAAACAAACATAAAAACAGGTATTTGCCTCATATAGGCTATAGTCTATTATATACAATATACAGACATGTATTTTATGAACTAAAGCCTATCTTCATGAAAAAGGTTAAATATTATTTTTAATGACATTCTTGTGCAATGGGGAGAGTGATACCATATTTTCCTATGAACCACATCGTGTTTAACACACAAAAGTTACGTTCAGTTAAATTATGTGAAATTAACAGTTATGTTTTGACAGCTGGTAGCTTTATTATGGTAGCTTTACCCGTCGAAGTTTATAGTTTTAATCGATCTGCCATACGTTTTTGTTTGTTTGCATCTTTTATCCACACTAGTTCACTTTCTGTTAATTTATGTAAGTGTAGACAAAGCTTTCATGCAGGATCTGGGTGCTTGCTGTGAGAAAAATCAATCGATAAACGCATATGGCAAAGGAAGTGCATTCAAACTCGCTTCAGCGCGTATTTATGTGAGAGGCGCGTGCACGGGAAGGGGCGTGTGATTTGTCCGCGAGTCGGAATTCGGTACAACACCTGTTTTAATACCAAAAAGACTCGTGTGTTTTTTTTTACACTATGCTGAACGGTCGGTTAAGTAAGCGAGTGCCATTGACGGAAGCAGTGACCGGAAGTGATCCAGCTCACCACAGACAAACCGGAGATTCTATTTCCGTTGTTATGCAACTAGCGAATTAAAGATAGCCTACTCTTTACCAATATGGAGGTATTTTGTCATGTCTAAAGTATATTAATGGGGCCACGAGAATGCAATCAAAGCACAATAAGATGGCTATAAGTAATTGTAAATCATTCAAAATAAATGACATGATCACTAGATTTTATACAGGTGTTACTATAATGATTTTGTTAATGGTGATCAGCAACCAAATATTGATCATGTGGAAGTTACTGCCTTTTGTCTTGGCATGACTTCTCACTTTTTGCTGACAATACAAAGGCAGAGTACAGTACCTTTAAAATAGTGGTCAAAAGTCAAGTTTGAGCTCAAGATTTTTTTATGTACTGTAAATTATTTTCATTACTTAAACATCTAATTGCCAGATTTCCAGTGTCCTACCTATAATTAATTTGGCGGGACAACTTAAAATCTTTAAAGTCATTTTTCTCAGTTCCACACTCTAGCAAGTTAAGGTATTTTGCCTTTGTAGGGCAGTATGGCCCTAAAGGTGTTTTATCACAGAATGAATGTCGTCTATGAAACAGTTGTGCGGATCCTGCATCTCACCTGCATAAGGACCCTGTAGCTTTCCAGGACAGAAAGTCTGGAAGGTCAAAGAAATGTGCCGCTTCTTTCCAACAGGTTTCCTGCAGATTCTAAGCGTAGAAGAAGAAACAAGCGTCTGAAACACAAGTGTTTATAGTCCTCTTGCTCTTCCTCAGGATCCCAGCGCTCCTCACCTCTTTGAGCCACAGTAGTTTGGGCGGCTGCATTTCGGGCGACATCACCCCGCCGACCCCCTGAAGCACTCTGTGTTTGGTGTCTGTGATCCGAGCGGCTTGTTCTGCGGCCCGGTGGTCCATCCACATAACCACGTTCCTCTCCCGGACGCCTGCAAGTAACACTGGGTCAGAGTGCCGGATCCCGCTCTCGGGACGAGTGATAAACGCACCTCACCTGTGTGATTGACAGCCACGGGCTGAAAGTGCCGATCCAGAGCCACCAGTGAGCAGGTAGCATCAAACCCGAGCCCTCGGACACACGTCACGTCAATGTCCTGAGTCACTCTCTGAAAACACACGCAAACAGCCCGTTTGACCAACACAACACCAACAGAGTCCCTGCCAGACAGATAGTCGCCTCACCTTCACTGTCCGGCAGCACTTGCTCCAGATATCAGCTGACGACTGCTCATAATGCTCCGCATGCGGCTCCCAGATGACAACGGGCTCCTCTGCTGTGTGTTTGACCTGACCGTCCGGAGTGACCAGAGCCGCTCGCACACTGGCAGTGCCCACGTCAACCGCCACATAATACCTGCTCATCTCACTGGACACCTGCGGAAACACACACACACGCAAGGGCACCCTCAGCTGATGCTGTAATAATATATTGGATTTGGAACAGATTTTGGCCCGAAACCAGAGCACTGGAGTTGACTGGATGAGCTCCTCCCATGACAATTAGGTTAATTATCTAATTATCTTTTTCTTATCTTATTTTAACTGCCCGACCGCTCCAAGCATCGGACAGGTGAGCTCTGCCAGTGGCCGGACAGGATTGCAAGGCTTCAGACTTACCAATTTTGTGGTAAAATATATTTTTTAATTCTATTCCAAATATTTGTAAAAGTTATGACGTTATGAAGACATGGGAAAAGGTGCCATAGGTGTTTATTAAACAATGATTAAACATTACAATGATGTACAAATTAACCATGCCATTTAATGTCCTCTTTTCTTTATCCTCATACCTGTTGCTTTGATGTATGAGGCACACACACAGAGACACAAACACACACACACACACAGAGAGAGAGAGAGAGAGAGAGAGAGAGAGAGACAAACACACACACACAGAGAGACAGACAAACACACACACAAACACACACACAGAGAGAGAGAGAGAGAGAGAGAGAGAGAGAGAGAGAGAGAGAGAGAGAGAGAGAGAGAGAGAGAAACACACAGAGAGACAGACAGACAGACAAACACACACACACACAAACACAGAGAGAGAGAGAGAGAGAGAGAGAGAGAGAGAGAGAGAGAGAGAGAGAGAGAGAGAGAGAGAGAGAGAGACAGACAGACAGACAGACAGACAGACAGACAGACAAACAGACAAACAGACAAACAAACACACACACATTAATATTTGGGTAAACTCTCCTCATTACTGTCATAATCTCACTCTCATTACGGCAAAAAGATAAAACTGAATATACAGCGTGCTATTTCCTTCATGCAATTATAAAACAGTTATCTTAATATCCGTTCGCAACTGCTGTTTGTTTACATCGGTAGAATGACTGTAAGTCTCTCACAGTGAAACTCTTACCTTAACTCTTAAATCGTACCTGCTTCGCGCGCGTCTGGAGGAATAAACGCGTTTACTCTCGTTCTGCAGGGCTTCAGTCAGAGTTTCAGCGAGCGACTGTAAAGAAAAACCTTCACAATGTACTTTGGATTTTAGCTTACGGCGCTCGAGCGCGACCAAAAAGTACAACCGCGCGAGCCTCAATAGCATTCGTGTATGGGGTCCATTTGTGCCAAAAATGAGTCGACTGCTTTGTGCTTTATACTACACATAGTTGTTCGTAAAACTGGTATGTTGATGTGTGTTTTCTCTGTTTATGTCGATTTGATCTGTCGTTCTTACTGTATTGATCCTTCTTTTTCAGGAAAAATAGTATATGTTGCTGTGTTTGTTCTCGATTTGTTCTGTATTCCGTACTTGAACTGTAGTCCGATAGCCTACACTGTCGTCCCGTTCTGACATCTTAACTGTCGTCCCGTTCTGACATCTTAACTGTCGTCCTGTTCTGTCATCTGAACTGTCGTCCTGTTCAGTCATGTTAACTGTCGTCCTGTTCAGTCATCTGAACTGTCGTCCTGTTCAGTCATGTTAACTGCCGTCCTGTTCAGTCATGTTAACTGTCGTCCTGTTCAGTCATGTTAACTGTCGTCCTGTTCAGTCATGTTAACTGTCGTCCTGTTCTGTCATCTTAACTGTCGTCCTGTTCAGTCATGTTAACTGTCGTCCTGTTCAGTCATGTTAACTGTCGTCCTGTTCTGTCATCTGAACTGTCGTCCTGTTCAGTCATGTTAACTGCCGTCCTGTTCAGTCATGTTAACTGTCGTCCTGTTCAGTCATGTTAACTGTCGTCCTGTTCAGTCATGTTAACTGTCGTCCTGTTTAGTCATGTTAACTGTCGTCCTGTTCAGTCATGTTAACTGTCGTCCTGTTCAGTCATGTTAACTGTCGTCCTGTTCAGTCATGTTAACTGTCGTCCTGTTCAGTCATGTTAACTGTCGTCCTGTTCTGTCATCTGAACTGTCGTCCTGTTCAGTCATGTTAACTGCCGTCCTGTTCAGTCATGTTAACTGTCGTCCTGTTCAGTCATGTTAACTGTCGTCCTGTTCTGTCATCTTAACTGTCGTCCTGTTCAGTCATGTTAACTGTCGTCCTGTTTAGTCATGTTAACTGTCGTCCTGTTCAGTCATGTTAACTGTCGTCCTGTTTAGTCATGTTAACTGTCGTCCTGTTCTGTCATCTGAACTGTCGTCCTGTTCTGTCATGTTAACTGTCGTCCTGTTCAGTCATGTTAACTGTCGTCCCGTTCTGTCATCTGAACTGCCGTCCTGTTTAGTCATGTTAAAGGGGCATTATGCAGGAATCCCGTTTTTGTCAAACAGCGACCCCTAGAGTTACTGTGGAGTACTTGAATTTAACGTTACTGTCGTAAATAACACTCACTCAGAGCGTGACATGGCCTGTTACATAGTATACAATAGTACATTGTGTTTAATTTGTCGTTTAATGAGATATAATATATGTTGTTAGTGGTGAGAATTTTCACGTGATTAAATACATAGATCCGACAATTTTAATGGTCCAGAGGCAGAACTTTTGCCAAGTGTGTCAGAGGTTCTGGGTTCTAATCGGTACTAGTAGTATAGTTTATTTTCCTCATCAAAACTGATTGTTTATTAGTGGTTGTATTTCAAGCAGGGACATGTTTTTTGTGCATTAGGTTTTGTGATTTCACCGTAACAAATATAGAGAGTCTCTCAGTTCCTGCAACGGATTCAGGCGCGCGTCACAACAGAACACTGTAACTTATCTGCACCACTGATCGCAGAGGCAACGAGCACTTTGGTCACTTGATTTCAAAAATAACACATTTCAGATCGCCTCTTATTTAACAAACGAACGAAATGAATGCTCTACTAGAGTTACCTGGAGATGTTTTATTTGTTTGTAATGGTAACGTTACATCCGTGCCGCGAGAAGTTTCAATGGGGACATAACACACCCGCAAATTATGCCTATGCTCGTGTCCGACTCCTCGCTCGGTCAGTCTGCTGTTTCCTCTTTCTCTGTTCCTCCGACAATGCTTTCCTAGCTTTCTGCATCTTATATGCCGGCTCAGCCATGACGATAGTGTGACAAACTCCATCCCTCTATACCTTGTTCCTGTGTGTATGTGTGCAGTTGCCGTAAAGGAATATGTTACATCGCGAGAGCTGATATCACGCGATACTTCCTGACACTGAGCACGGCGGCCCGCCGCACCGAAGTTGCAAGTGAGATTTTTTCGCTCACAGGCACCAGGGGGGGTCGAGACGCCCACCATTCAACCCGAAAGAAGTTATATAACCATTTCAATAACTCTGAAGCTGTTCAGTTAAGCTAAAAAAGCTGCATAGTGTCCCTTTAACTGTCGTCCTGTTCAGTCATGTTAACTATCGTCCTGTTCAGTCATGTTAACTGTCGTCCTGTTCAGTGATGTTAACTATCGTCCTGTTCAGTCATGTTAACTATCGTCCTGTTCAGTCATCTGAACTGTCGTCCTGTTTAGTCATGTTAACTGTCGTCCTGTTTAGTCATGTTAACTGTCGTCCTGTTCAGTCATGTTAACTGTCGTCCTGTTCAGTCATGTTAACTGTCGTCCTGTTCTGTCATCTGAACTGTCGTCCTGTTCAGTCATGTTAACTATCGTCCTGTTCAGTCATGTTAACTATCGTCCTGTTCAGTCATCTGAACTGTCGTCCTGTTTAGTCATGTTAACTGTCGTCCTGTTTAGTCATGTTAACTGTCGTCCTGTTCAGTCATGTTAACTGTCGTCCTGTTCAGTCATGTTAACTGTCGTCCTGTTCTGTCATCTGAACTGTCGTCCTGTTCAGTCATGTTAACTGTCGTCCTGTTTAGTCATGTTAACTGTCGTCCTGTTTAGTCATGTTAACTGTCGTCCTGTTCAGTCATGTTAACTGTCGTCCTGTTTAGTCATGTTAACTGTCGTCCTGTTTAGTCATGTTAACTGTCGTCCTGTTCAGTCATGTTAACTGTCGTCCTGTTCAGTCATGTTAACTGTCGTCCTGTTTAGTCATGTTAACTGTCGTCCTGTTTAGTCATGTTAACTGTCGTCCTGTTCTGTCATCTGAACTGTCGTCCTGTTCTGTCATGTTAACTGTCGTCCTGTTCAGTCATGTTAACTGTCGTCCTGTTCTGTCATGTTAACTGTCGTCTTGTTTTGTCATCTGAACTGTCGTCCTGTTCAGTCATGTTAACTGTCGTCTTGTTCTGTCATGTTAACTGTCGTCCTGTTCTGTCATGTTAACTGTCGTCTTGTTGTGTCATCTGAACTGTCGTCCTGTTCTGTCATGTTAACTGTCGTCCTGTTCTGTCATGTTAACTGTCGTCCTGTTCAGTCATGTTAACTGTCGTCTTGTTTTGTCATCTGAACTGTCGTCCTGTTCAGTCATGTTAACTGTCGTCTTGTTCTGTCATGTTAACTGTCGTCCTGTTCTGTCATGTTAACTGTCGTCCTGTTCTGTCATGTTAACTGTCGTCCTGTTCAGTCATGTTAACTGTCGTCCTGTTCTGTCATGTTAACTGTCGTCCTGTTCTGTCATGTTAACTGTCGTCCTGTTCAGTCATGTTAACTGTCGTCCTGTTCTGTCATGTTAACTGTCGTCTTGTTTTGTCATCTGAACTGTCGTCCTGTTCAGTCATGTTAACTGTCGTCTTGTTCTGTCATCTGAACTGTCGTCCTGTTCAGTCATCTGAACTGTCGTCCTGTTCAGTCATCTGAACTGTCGTCCTGTTCAGTCATGTTAACTGTCGTCTTGTTTTGTCATCTGAACTGTCGTCCTGTTCAGTCATGTTAACTGTCGTCCTGTTCAGTCATGTTAACTGTCGTCCTGTTCAGTCATGTTAACTGTCGTCCTGTTCAGTCATCTGAACTGTCGTCCTGTTCAGTCATGTTAACTGTCGCCCTGTTCAGTCATCTGAACTGTCGCCCTGTTCAGTCATCTTAACTGTCGTCCTGTTCTGTCATCTGAACTGTCGTCC